GGTGGTGCTCTTGACTCCAGAGCCCTGACTCTTACTTCACTGCTCTGGCTTCCTCTGTAAAATTAAAAACTGACTCAATCAATAAATAACTTTCTCATTCTTTTTACGAAAAGCTGTGGCAAGAAATAAGATACAAGTGATTAATAAGGTTACTTCCTCAGAACGATACCACTTAAATCCCAGGGACTGTGTAGGGTAAGCTCTGAAAAGAAAATGATGTTCTCCTAGCACTGGGAAATCCCCCTGAGATCCCACGGCAGCCTGGGATACGTGTAGCAGCATCCTTATTTTCTTCCAGTCATGAATATTCTGTTGTGAGGCCCTCTGACATACTTTCCTGAGACAGCACTATCTTTCCCTTATCTCTCTGAGTTCTGGCTTGCCCTTGGCCTATAAAAAGAGCTCATTGTGTTTATTTTCTTTTGTTTCCTAAAATAAATTATTACCTACTCACCTAACATCTACTGAAACTATTGCTCCCTTTGAACTTCTTTAAAAAGTAGTTGCCATACACTGTCTCTAATTTTTCACTAATCATTTTTCAACCTCCTACAATCCAGAAGAGGATTTATCTCATATCACTTCTTATTTATCTTGTACCACTGCCTCTCCACACTCAGTGCCCGTGGAAATGCCTACTAGATGTAAGCAATGTGTAAACCTTAACATGAGAACTTTGATGAGGAAAAGGAACCATAAAGCAAAATCAATCAAAAAAAGTATTTCCAGTGAACTTTTCCATCACCAAAAATTTAATTAAGCTCCCAAATTTCTGGACATAATTATTTATAAATACTTTGTAAAAAAATGTTTGAATGAAATATTATCAGCAGTATGTTTGGATAAAAAACACAATATCTAAAGATATTTTGTCACTAATATTGTGTAGTTATAAATTGTTCCTATTCACAAAACATCATCTTGCAGCTTTAGAAAACATAAATTATTAGCTGGTATAGAAAAGAAAAACCAAGAAAACATTTTGACCTGCCTTACAGGATCTATGGATTACTTGGCTTAAAAAATCTTATTGTTTTTAATCTAGCTCAGACCAAGTAAGCACCTTAGAAAGAAAAATAGGTGTTGTTTTGTAGATGACTTAGCATATGTTCTGAAAGGGCTGAGTGCCAGTTGTCATTAGCAGTGAGGTGGGACTAGTTATTAGTGGCTTATGTCCACTCTCACTGGTCAGTGTTCCTGTTATACTGATTGTTAAACAATCTTCCAACATCCCTTAATCATGATCACAAATTATTCTTTTCCAATGGTCATTTAATGAAAGTGACATCATTCCAAGAACGTCAGTAATGAGAATTTTATTCAAAGTCTTTCCTAAGAATGTTCTGAAGTCAGCATATTTTTTGTCCAATCTTTGTGCATCATATAGATATATAGTGTTGCACAGTGAGGAGAGATAGAAGGAGACCAGAAGTAAAACCATCACCTGTCAACCATCACTGCTCATTTTCCTAGAAAAACTGTGGACACATTTGTGACAAGAGATGAAACACTAAATTTCTCCTTGATCACTACACTATTTTCTATTTCCAAGTTAAGTTAACCATCATCTTTCCCCAACTCCTGGTCCAGTAAGATTTTTCTCTATAAGCCCAGGGCTGCAATTTATTAAAAAAAAAATTTAAACTTGCCCTTTATAAGCCTTACAGGAATCTGCATTGAGATAGCCAGACATTTTTGGCCAACTAATCATTATTATTTCTTGAACTCTGGACGTTTATGTATGTGCTCCAAGCTGATTTGCATTCTACACAAGTTACAGGAATAGATCTGCCAGGAAGTTGTGAAATTCAAGGATAGATAGGCCCTTTTCTTGGTTAAGTCATAGCTCCAGATCTACAGATTAGCCTAGCAAGGCCCTCCAAATCTTTTGCAATGCGCATTTTGAAATACATGGATCATTTGCTTCTGGCTTCCAGGCAGTTCGACTAAAGGCTTAGGCTACAAAATTGCAAAAGTTTATGATTCCTCACAGAGGAATGAAATGTGACGCAGTAGAGCAAACTGCAGGCATTTAATACCAGATGTTAATGTAAAAATTGGAAAATTGTGGCCCCTCGTGGTTATCTAACCCATGACCTTTAAAATCCCATCAAAAAGTCTGTAAATCATCATTTCTAGAATCTTCCACTATTAAACCTTGTGCCTATTTTTAATGTAAAATAATAATTCTGAATACACAATTTGATCATATCAAATGTCTTGAGACATTTACAGTCTAACAGAATAATGCAATTTCCAATCATAAATCATTAAGTACAGACTTTCTGATTTGTTGGGTTTTCTAAAGTGATTTTTTAAAAAATAGTTTGAGACATGTTTGATTCCCTTGTCTGCACGCTGCACCTATCAAATTTATAAGATGTTAAAGAAAAGTGAAAAAGGGAAGAAATCTCACTTATTTGCATGGAGAGGGAATGAGGACCCTGGAAATATACCTTTCAAAACATTTTTGCATTTGTTTGCACGTCTTTCCAGTACCTACACACTTGAGAAATGAAATGAGTGATTCTGAATGAGGTAGGACTGTTTAGAAATCCCATGTCTATGAGGAGAGCTTGGTGTTAGGTGAGGAGTTGCTGAGAGGTTCTAGATTCAATGTTAGAGATGAGTGAGGTCTAGCTTTTCTACCTTCTGTGGGATATTGGGCAAAGTTCTTAACCCCTCTATGCCTCCATTGCCTCTTCCGAAAAACAGATTTAGCATGATGTCTTGATCATCCCACAGGGTTATAAGACTCAAGGAAAACAGTTTGTTTAAGAGCCAGACATGAGCAGCAAAGTGCTCTACAAGTATGAAGAACATCATTCAGGCGCTTTCACGCAATTTAAAACTTGAAGGAGCTGAGACACAAAGAATCTCTTTCAAGCCCAAGGACAAAGTAGAAAGGACTTTAAAATATTCCTCTTCTTACTGGGCATGAGTATCTTAACTTGGTATCTATACTTTTTATATTTAAAGTGGTGGAGAAGAAAGGAAGGTGGAAAGGAATCTTACTGAATTATTAGCAAGAAACAATATGTTCAACCACCACAATATGTTCAATCACCAAGGGTTTAGCACCTCTCTGGTGAACAGAGAGCCACCTAGAGCAGCATACCAGGGCTATTCTAGAGAAATGCAAATCAATATAAGAGTCAGGCCCTTCCATCAAGAGAGCCTCCAGTTTCATGTGTCTTCTTTCTTTCCATAGTCAAACACAATTGCATAAACACATGAGCAACACTGGCAAGAACAGCTCACAGAATGGGAAAATGCGATAAGGTCTTTGAGACCAACTAGTCCAATTGTATAAGGACAAATGAAGACTCTGAGGCAGACAATGTCAGGTAGCATGCCCCAATATACAAATCAGCAGCATCACTGTGATGACAAGCCAGAGCTACTGGCCCCTTGCCAGGAAGATCTTGATATCATACAGAACGTACAGGAAGTTTTGTTACTCAAGTCTCAAATACAACGTAAATTTTTCCTTTTCCTTTGAGGGATTAAATTTGTATTTCAGAGAGTCACATCACCTTAAGAAACTTACAACTAGAAACGTTTCTCCTTTCTTCCTACCTTCCATCCATTTCTTTCTCTCATTTTAGCTAACTTTCTTATCCTCTTTCCATCCTTCATAGATATATATACCTGGAGGCAGATGAGAGCAACAAAGATAGCAGACCTAAGTCAAGGAAATGCAATTTGCATTTGCCTATGGTAGCCCAAAACTTGGGATGAGAATTTAAAACACAAGATATCAACTTAATTCCTGAATCTAGAAAAAAAATAAGTTTTTTTTCTCTCCAAATAATCTGATATCATTTATGAAAATTAAAAATTTATTACTCCCCAGTGTTCCACCATCACCATCCCACTCCTTGGACTTTTCATCTTCAGGATCAAAATCATCCCTGGCACTTGTAATCAAACAATCTCACAATGGGTGTGTGTGTTTATTTGGACCTTGTGGAACCAAAGTGAACTGATAATGTGTTTCTCTTACAATAATCCACACTATCTGTTTATAAACAGCCTTATTTAATTTGAACTGAATTTGCAAAATTGGATCATTTCTAATCTTTCCCATCCTTACACAAAGTTCCAACTGGTCCGTTTTATTCTTGACTCTGATCCTAAGAATGATGTACATTTTCCCCAGACATATAAAGGAAGGGGGAAGAAAATAGTGGACCAATGCAACAAAATTTTCCCCAATGTGTTCCCCATAAAGAAAAAAAAAACATCAAATACCAATATGACAAAGCATTTACTGAAAGTTTTCAAAATTTCCAAAAAAAGTTACAAAAAGTGAGCACACAATGAAACTGATGACAAATTAGATACTAGAAACTAACATATTGTTTAAATCTGCACAGACGTGTAGAGGGAAAAAGGGAACACCTATAAGCATTTATATGGTTAAAGCACTTTATTTGGCTCTTTTATTCATATTATCTCATTTGGCCCTATTCAGAAAAATTATCCCAGGCTTGGAAATTAAGACCAAAAAAATAAAAAAGATTCTGACCTTTTAAATATCATACTGGCCCATTATTCATCAAGCCTACTCAAGGATCATCACACTCTCTTGAGAAATACAATTTTGTTTAACCAATAATTCAATAGGGAACAGATTAAGAAACCTATAAAACTAGAGGTTGGTTTGTAGAAAACTAATAAGGGATGATGATTTATTTTTTGCTTTCTAGTTGAGAAATAAACCTCCAAGTTTATAGTTTTATGTCCCTGTAGGACACTAACTATGACACATGAGCAACTACCTTACTTTGAAATCTCATTTCATCAAAGCTTTCCCTTGAATTACTGATTACTGAAATTCTCATTCTTCAATTCTCTTCAAATTGTTCTGGTATTCTGGCAATTAGGCAGCTAAAACCAAACTCATATATTCATATAGGAATTATTAATGATTTGAGATTTGTGATTTGACAATCATCAACTACATGAGGTAGGAAGTATATCCTCATTACAGAGGAAGAAATTTAGTCTAAGGAAAGGCACTGTTACCTGCCCAGGTTATAGAGGTAAGAAGTGATACAGCTAAAATTTGAACAGAAATCTGCCTGAAGTCTTTTACAGTAAACACACTGATGACTCATATGTGGATTAAAAATTGGGCTGGAACATCTCCAAAATTATCAACCTTATCTATATACATATATTTATATACTGATATTATAAATGTGATAGATTGAGATCAAGTGTAAACTCCCAATGCTTGCTGATTCCATTGTTCTGGATGATGATCAGAAAATTACTTCCAAGGTTGAAATAAAACTCCCTGAAACATATTCAGAATATTACTGAAGAACCACTTTTTGACTTTTCATTAGCATATCCCTACAAAACATAGTCCAGGAGTTTTTTTTAGTAAATTTGACTAAATTATCAGCCTGCACTGCTGCAAAGATATACAGTTTATTTTGTCCCTTGACTGGTAAAACAGCCTTTTCTATTCTTCAGCATGTAAGTGAATTGCTGACCTGGCTGAACAGACAGGTAGTATTAAGACTAGTGAGTAACACATGACTCTTAGTCTGAAAGCACCATAGTATGCATTTAAATCTTGGAAGAATATCTGGAAAAAGGCTGCCCTTTACATACATGGTTTGTCTAACAACTGTGACTTCACCTCTGATATGTACCTTTAAAATGTACCCTTTTATCCACCTGATGATCCTTTCAGTGTTTATGCAGATTTATGCATTTCTTTCCATAAATAGCATTCTAAAGTTTGGGTCAATTGGCCTCTGGGTTGATAAAAATCTGTGGCTGTATAATAAGGCTTTGGTCTACCAAATCACAAACTGGACATCAGGCCTGGCTTTCTGTAGACCACACCCCTCTTTGAGATGCTTTGACAGCTGTCTGCCATAGATTCAAGTGAAGTAAGGCAATTTGCCCCACTCCTCGCCCCTGAGCAGCTGGATTTCAACTCCAGTTGATGTGAAAAGATAACTATGTGTTCAAATTCATCTTGATTCACAGTTTCACTGCTTTATCCTGACTAAAGCTGTTCACTGTGTCTGTGGTTTTCTTGCATAAATTTTCAATCCAGCTAGTGCTATTATAAAGTGTCTTTTCCAACCCTGAGGTTGGGGGTGGATTTTTAACTCGCATATTTTTTCCAGATGTGATAAGCTCTCCATAACCTTCTTGGTGAGCAAAACTATATCCAGATCTTCTTGAGCTTGACCTGCGGGTCTGAGGCCTTCGTCTGCTTGTGGGCTTTGCCTTTTTTTGAGCCTTCTGCCACCAGCGGATCTGGAGAAAAACAGACTCAGAGTGAGATGAATCCAAGTGACAGACTCCAGGCACTGAGCCATTTTGTAAAGTAGAATGTTTTTTCAGTAACAATAACATTGGCAATAACAAAATACTCACCTTCATTACTAAAGGAAGTTTTAGACCTAAAAACAAGAAATTTTCCACCCCAAAGATCACACTGAGCACTGATGGAGTTTTATTTCTATCAGGAAACTAACACCTAAATAAGAAATAGTCTGAAAAATTTCATTATTGTGTCCATCTCATACATCTTAATTGTGTAGAAGCAACTTTTTTTTTTTTTCCAGTGCTGGGGATAGAACCCAGGGCCTTGCACAGGGTAGGAAGAGACTTATTTGTTTGTTTGTTTGTTTCTTTCTTTATTAGATACCAGGAATTGAGGTCAGAGGCACTCAAACACTGAGCTCTGTTTTGTATTTTATTTAGAGACAGAGTCTCATTGAATTGCTTAGTGCCTCGCCATTGCTGAGTCTGGCTTTTGAACTCACAATCCTCTTTCCTGAGCCTCCTGAGCCACTGGGATTACAGGTATGTGCCACCACACCCAGCAGGACGATGCTTTTATTCAGAAAGATTTTCTAACATGCACCACCCAGACACAATCAGTTCAACAATTTATAGTCCCATTTCCCCAAAATAGCCTGAAGCAGGAGAAAATTTAGAAGAGTTAGGAATTGTCAACTCTTGTTGTATCATTAGATTTTCAGGATTTGAGTTTAGTTTGGGATGATGTGTTTTCTTGTTTTTGTTGTTTATTTCAACATCACTTGAGTGGGTTTCCAACATTTCTTTAATTTTCCTGCAAAGGTAAGGAGAAAAAGACCACAGGTTTGTGTAAGTGACCTTATTCTCTGGTTTGGCACATTGCCTAATTCTGACTTTTGTCTCTGGAGAAAGTTATGAAGCAGAAAACCACAATCAGTCATAACATAGAAAAAAAAATGAGCATCATCTTCCTTCCTTCAGTTTATCTATCATTTTTGGTTTGTATCAGCTCAGAGCCAAAGAGAAAGGACACACATGACAAGGGATTCTGAACATTCAAAAGGACTCATTTCATACATTGGCCCCCGGATGTGAGGCACATCATTGATAAGAAGAGTTCCCCTCAGAGCATCCTTGGCCTGGCTCACTGCCCTCATTGAACATCTTCACCTTTCTCTTGATAAGGCTACAAATATATCTATCTCCCTGCTTTCCTTCTCCTTTGTCTTTGAACCTGAGTCTTGACCTAATCTGAAATTATTTTCTTTACACTCCTTGTTTTGTGAAATACTGAAATATGTCCTAATTCCCTAGTTTGTGTATTTCTATAATCTTCCTACTTTCCTTCTAACTTTAAATTTCCTAACCCATCCATAATGCTGTTATTCCCTTTTTAAATCTGTTCAAAATGGAACCTCTCTCCACATTTCTGAATATACTATATTACTACAAAATTGAGGGTCCCTTTGACTCACCTCTTGCCTGTCTCCTTTTACTGCATCCTCTACTTGTCCTCAAGTTAAAAACTTTTCCTATAGCTTGCCTTTCTCTTAGAATAATTATCCAAACTGAGTTGGAAGCACTTCCTTTTTAAAAAGTCAGCTTTTAAAATACCCAACTTAACTTTTACTTTCTCACTGTTCACCCACATTTAGTCTAGATGCTTCTTTTCATTCAACACATGGGCAGTCCCATCTGTCCTGACAAGATCCAGGTACTTATGGGTGTTGGCCTATGGAAATTTCATTAACCTTTCCTTGGGCTTCCAATCAAACAGAGAAGGACACCATTCTGAGAGCCAAGAACAAGTCTCTGAATATTAGCAGCACCACAACATACCTGATCACTCAGTGATGGGTATAAATGCATCTTCAAAAATCTGAATGTCACCACGGGTATGACTGAGGCCACTGTTGTTAAGAGAATAGTAAGCCAAATGCACTTCTGGTTTAGGGAATGCCATGCGTTTCCTGTTGTTAAAGAAAAGTATACACTCTGGTTATAAATTGAACTGAAGTAGTAATAGATTTTTTTGTCAGTAAGGTCTTCTATAAAATGATGAGGCCTGGTCTACATAGGAGAACCAGTGAGTATCTTCTCAATCTATCACATGCTCAGTGGTGGTGTGGAAAAGGCAAACATGGGAACTGTCTAGTGGCCTGACCCTTAGATTTACCAGCATGAGCCAAGCATTTGTTATCCAGGCTCAGTCCAGCTTCACTCATTAAGCATAATTCTTGCTTTAGCCTCAAGTTTCCTTGACTACAAAGCAGTAATTGTTTTTAAAAGGCATATTTACTTCTGTGGATTCTTGGATAAAAATGATCATATCAAACTCCACAAAAAGTATTCCAAATGCAGGCACAATCTCAAATAATGGTCATGTTGACTGGCTATGTCATCAAAGGTGAGCTTCACCTTCTTCGGGGCCAACCTTTTAAATTCTAGGCAAAGGACCCAGAAAACCTGCCTCAAAGATATTTGCTATCTCTTTCACGTTCTCTTGGTTATGAGATGCTTAAATTTCCAAGGAGATCAGGGAGGTTGCTGGGTTTGTGAAAGGAGCATCCATCCCCCTCACTGTTGACACAGTCGTCCAACATGCCAGGGCAATAGGGCAGTGAAACTCATTTCCAAACTTGTAGACAGTTTCCTTCCTTTATTCTCACACTTCATAAGCTTTGATATTTGCCCAAACACAGTCAAGTTCCATGAGAAAATACTGCTCCAGTTTATATTACCACAATAAACTTTTGCCCCTATTCTTTTGCTAGGGATCTACCATGATACCTACATAGGTCCCCTATGGCAGTACTAACGTGTTAACACCATTCATGGGGCTTAGGGTATGAGGGCTTGGCTGCTCATGGGTATGTCTGCTTTTTCTGGCTTTGGAGAGTAGAAGCTGCCTACCAAAGAGCAGTTGATTCCAGTTGCCTTCAGCCACAGACAGAAACAAACTTGACTCAATAAATTAAATGTCTTTTGAGCAACTTGAAGCTCAATACCCCTAGGCAAGGCTGGAAAAAACAAGCTTCTCTTTAAAACCACACTCCCACTTGCTGCTGGTTGCTAAGGGAAAAAAAAAATTTTTTTTTTCTTAAACCCCAATGTTGATCTAAGTTTTGTAAAGTCTCATTGGAGCTCAGTAATTAATTCCTGGAATGGCATGTGCTTAGCAGAAAAGAGTAGTCCCCACACAAACTCCTTTCTCCAGTTGAGGCATTCCAATTCCATTATGCACGTTAAAAGGCTCTCTCAGGACTGGAGGTCTGCTATTCAATGCACTGAACTTCCATATTTGGCAACCAAATAATAAACAAATAAACAAACTTAAAAAATAATTGTAGTCTCTTTGTTTCCTAATCAGTTTATTCTAGTTCATAACCGACATGTCTGTATGTGGTTGGAATCTTTTGGTATACAAAGTATTAAGATCATATATTAAGTAAGAATGGTACAGTTTAAAGACTTCTATGTATACACAGGGAAGGACAAAAGTTAAAGAACCATCTGTAACTTTAAGTGCATGTGTGCATTTAAATGGAACTTGAATTTCAGTTACTTTTGCATCAGTGGCAATATCTAACTTTATAGTCAGTTCTGTATGTTTTCTATGTGAATCAATCTTCTAAGAATTGTTGTCCAGACTGTTACCCAACTAGTGGGTACAAATCTCAATTGAGCTCAAGAAAGTTGTCCCTGCACATGGCTACTCTCTAGTTCACTGTTCCCTGTACACCTAGAGAATTCAAAACTTCTGAGCAAGTATATTAATAGCTTTCTTGTGTGAAGCTCAGTGACCTTTCTGGGAATCATATTGAAATGTGGACTGCATTGGAAGTATACTCTGTGCAGATACCATGTATATATACTCTTTTAATGAATATTAGGGAAACTTTTCTACCCATCTTACATTCAAATCCTTCTGCAATGTCCCCAACCAGTAATCAGGCCACCTTTGCTTGAATAATAGTTATCACCTATGTTACAATCAACATTTATTGAAAAATTACTATGTACCAGGATATTTGCTAAGTAGTTTATATATATTTTCTTCATACGTTTTCTATGAAATGAAAACAACTAATATCCCCAGTCTATAAATGAAGATTAATTAAATCATGTAAAAGAGAAGAAACTTGCCTAAGGTCACAGTTTGTTAAGTAGTAAAGGTAATACTTGAGCCTTGGATGTCTGCAGAGCCTAGTCTTCAGGCCATTTATAGACTAATGTCCAGCAATTTGTAAGAGGCTCTAACTTATGCATCATTTCTTTCCTATCTAAGTGCAAATAATTCCTATAGGTGAACTTTGGCAGGTATGTTAATGATTATGTGGAAGAGCCTAGGGTTTCTTTTTCTTCTCTCTTCCATATACAAACTTCTCACAGGCCTTCAGGTAGCCTCAAGGTTTGTACTATGCCTCTTGTTTCCAGGGGGACAGCCTGCTACATCTGGCTATTGAGAACCTGCAAGCTTCTATCATAATGATTTTTCTACATCTGGCAAAGACAACAGAAAGTGATATTTTAGAACTTCTTTCAAGTCTAGAATCTCCAGATGCCTACCTCAGTCAGTTCCTGGAGAAGGGATCACGGGTCATTTTCAGACCCAACCAACATACACATGAAAAATAAATCACCAAGGCAAATAAATGGAAGCATGACTCTAGGCTCCACTAGACAGTAGGATTCACTTACCAACAAATGGAAACTGGTTTGGGAAGACTTCATAGATGCCATTACTGTGCATTGCAAACAAAATAGAGAAATAAGTAGCAATGCTGCCCCAGATGAAGACATGATTAATGACAGTCCAGTAACTGGTATCCAAGGCTATCTGTAAAAAAAAAAAATCAAATGCAAAATGGAGATCTTTCAAGTTTAAAAGAGCTTCAGAGACCTGCTCTGTGACAAGAAGGTTGCACGTACCTAGGCTCCAGGCCACCACAGGTACCTCCACCATCTGCACACACACAGGAGACTGACTTAATTGATTATTTCTATTAGACAATGGATTTGAGAACTTACATATGCAGACCATTGTATCTGCYCAGGTTGAGACAAAATGTTAAGCTTTTTTAAAATGAGAAACAAGAAATAATTGTTAGAAATTCTTTCAAAACGTTTCTGTTGGAAAAAAATCTGTGGAAAGCAAATGTAACATTTTAAAATCTGTACATAAATTTTCACATGACCATTTGGACACATGAATAATGTTTTTTACATAAATATTTTACATAAATATCTAACTCATTTTAATGATCTTTTCCTTAAATTACCCAAATCATAACAAAGAAAAATCATGAATCCTCTTTTGGCATAAAATTCAGAAACTGAAACTCAAGGTGACCTGGGAGCATGTCACAAACCCTTCTGCCTTCCAATAACATGTTGTGGCAGCTCAAATAAAAGAATAGTGAAGTGCTATTGAAGAATGAAATAATCTCTTCAATACTTGAATTCTCTAAGATTAAAAAAAAAGTACATTTTGGTGTTATTTTTGTATCTCAGAAGTCCCAAGAAGGCTAAGTGAAGGCTAAGTGAAGGTTACATTTCGAGTACAGTCCAGTACAAGACCAGATTTTTTCTCTGCACGAGGAGACCCTGCCTGCAGAGTAAATAGGTATGTCTTAATATATAAAAACATATCTTCTTCTCACTTGCAGTTTACTAGCCTTTAAAATGTTGCCCATTAAAAGGATGCTGCAGCTTTGGCTATGAACTTGCAGGTTTATAAAAGGACAGTTTTGTTGTTTTTTTTTTTTTCTCCTCGAGAAGCCTAAAAAGAGTCCCACCATCATGCCTCAGCCAAGAGCTGCTGGTTTTCTAGTTCATTAGGCTAAGACATTAGATTAAAATCTCCAACTCTGTCTTGCACCACCTGTCAGTTCATCACCATCAAGAGACAACAGCCTGATCTATGTGGGTAACAGAAGGCAAAGAAAAATCATAACCCATGAAAAGAGCCCAACTAAAAATACAAGAACAGGTGGCTCCTACTGAAGCAGAACTAATAGATCAGCCAAGCCCTGTAACAACAAAATGGAGTACAGCCTCTTGAGATGCAATTAGATCACAGGAAAAAAAAACCTCAAAGGAAGAATGTTATTTCTGAATTTAAAAATTCAATAGATAAACTAAATAAGAATAGTCAATAATGAGAACTGAATTAATATTCTGGGGGAAAAAACTGGAAATAATATCTCACAATAGGGAACATGAAGAAATGGAAACCAATTGTAAATCTAGAGATGTTGGAACCATAAGCTCAATATACAATTAATGAGGGGGGGCTGGGGTTGTGGCTCAGTGGTAGAGAGCTTGCCTAGCATGTGTGAGGCACTGGGTTTGATTGTCAGCACCACATAAAATAAATAAATAATGAAGTTATGTTAAGTATATATATATTTATACATATGTAAAATATATATGTGTGTGTGTAAATATATTTATACACACAATTAGTGGCATTTTAGAAAGAGAAAAAGGAACAAATAGAAAGGCAGCAATCAATGAAATGACAAAAGAAAACTGCTCTGTGATAATAACAGACTTTCAGATTGAAAGAGTCCTCTAAATCCTAGGCAAATTAATGAAAAAAAGATATATTCTGGTAATATTTATGAAGTCTAGGAACAAAGAACATAAGCAATAAGTCAAAGTCGATATTCCAAAGGAAAGAGAATCAACCTAACAAGTGAGGCTGGGATATGATGGAATGACAACAAACGTTCTTAAAGAAAAAGGCTCTGACTTTTACATTTATAAGTAAAGACAAAGTTTTGAGTTCAAACTTGTAACAACTAAATACTCTTTCTGAACAAATTGCTCAAAAATATTATTACAACCACATAAATCAGAACAAAGACCTCAAAATATTGGAAGGCAGCATAAAAATGGTAGTCAGCAATGATTCTTATAAATTTATAGCTATAAATGAATAATAACGCAAGCATAAGCTGTTTTATTAATATGGAAAGAATTTGGGAATGATCAAAACATACATTAAAGGAGCATTTTATAACATCTTGGAACCAAAATTCAAAATTATTAAGATGCAAGAGTTGAGGATGAGAGTAAAGACAGGGAAGGAGAAACAAACTTAAAACTTTTTGCTTAATTGGAGATGGTTCAGAAAAGGTTTAGAAAAGAATAGTGAAACATTTGGTGAAGGATACACATAGTATGCAATTTTAGTATAACAAAATGACCATGTAGCTTTAAATACTATGAAAATAACAGAAATCAACAGTAAAATAGAAATATGATAGTATTGCAAATTATTCATGGAAAATAGGATATTTTATGAATCTAAGTATGAAAAAGGAAAAAATATAAAGAGTAGGCTAAAAAGTAGTCATAAAACAACATTAAAAGAGCTATATAAACATTTTGCTACAATAAAATGAGTTAAATTCCCATATCAAAAGAGAAAAACTAATAGAATGAGACAAAAAGAAATGAATTTGAAGTGATTGGCMCAATTTTTATATAAGAAAGACAAAAGCAAACTAAGCAAAAGAAGCAAAACTGATACTTAAAAAATAAAACTTAAGTAAGGATTTTTTTTTATCATGAAAAAAGCTAAGAGCTACAAAGAACAAATCAGGAACCACTAAGTAATATAGCCTTGAATTATATTAGGTAAAATCTTTTTGAAATACAAGAACTTGATAAAAATCAAAATTACAGTGGTAAACTTTAACACACTTCTCTCAACGTTGAACAAGCATGGTGGTAAAGGTAATTGGTTCTTTTGGAATTGTGTGGCTCACCTTCTGGCCTCTAGTCACTAGTGTATTCACAGCTGAGCTGTAAGAAATGGCAAAAGTGTTTTCACTACAAAAATGCAGGCTTATGGGTGGTTTTTGTGCCCAATGGCATTACATCTAGCTGTAGCTCTTCCTTGTTCATATATCCTCATAAGGACACTGAAGCCATCTAATACCTTTTAATAAAATGTTTTTCTTTAAATTGTAGAAGTCTGTGATAGTGGTACCTACTACCATTTTTCGTAAGTAATATGGCAACATTTATGAAAATTTTGAACGTACATACTGACCCAGAAGTGAAAAACAGCAAAATATCATTCTTTATCCAGCATATTGGTAAAAATTAGGAGTTATGACCCCAGAAGTCTTATTTCTAGGAATTCATCTGACAATACATAAAATATATATGTACTATTACATGCATTGTAACATAGCTTCATAACACAAAAAAATAGAAACATATTAAATATCTATTTGATGAATTTCTATTCATCAGAGGATTGATGAATAAATCATCATATATCATAGTATGAAATTCTGTACAGCTGTTAAAAAGATTTACATCTGAATATGTTGATTAGGAAGGCTGTCCAGATTATATASTTAAGTAAGAAATGCATATTACAGAATAGTATGCATAATTATGATCCCCTTTTATTGTGTGTATATGTATGTGTGCATGTGTGTGTGTATATCTCAAAGCCAAGAAAAAGTATGGAAGAACTTAAACTCTGATAATCACATTACTAGTTAAAGAAGGGAAGGAAAGGAAAACAGTTCATTTTATTTTGAACACTTCAGCATTTTTTTAAATGTTAAGGGAACATTTTATAATTCAACAGACTATAAAAACTTATTATTAAAAAAAGGAAAATAGAGACTACTAAAGTTTGGCCTGTAGCATCAGCAGGACCTAAATTTATAACTGTAATTATAGACCATGGAAATTTCATGGGGGTTGAGACCACATCAACAAGTCAAGCTTAGACAGCAAGGAAAGGTTATTAATACTGCTGCCAAACTGAGCATATTCACAGAACTCCTGAAATTTATTATTCCATATATTAAAGACATGAGTTTTCTGTTGAAGCCAAAATTGCTGAATTTCAATGGTTACAAACATTTGCATGCTGAGGTCTGAGAATTCTATGGTGAAGTAGACATTTGTAGGGCTTCTTGGAAGCAAGATATAGGCAGTGATCATCCTCAAAGAGAATAGAATGACAGGGACTGGGAATCTCTATCTTACCTAAGCTGAGACTTTCATGTTGATAAAAGACATGTGTGTTCATCATCTGTTAATAGAGTTTCTTTCCCATCGTATTCAAAGATGATGCTGGTCTCCTAGATATCCTCTCAGGAAAGAGAGGTAGAGATCATGAGTTTCTTATAGCTGAAGGCATTTGGGGAGGTGTATAGCTGTTACTGATGGTATTAGAACTGGGGAACTGGAGTTGGAAGACATGCGTTCAAATCCTGGCCTAACATATTTTTTTTTGYAGGATTATAAATTAACCTTCTAGCCACATCTATGTTCTCATCTGTAATAACATTATATACATTTCATTGGACCATGAAGAGGGACTACATGACATAAAGAGATGATCCCAGTGCCTGGCCCAGCATCTTCCTTAATGCTCAGTATAAGCTTTATTCTGGAAAACCTGCATTTAAATCAGTCTTGCTGTAGAATAAAAGACTTTGTCCTAGACAACACTGAAATCTTACAGACCCAGGTTTTACTCATAGCTCTCAGACCTACTGTGTGACCTCAGGAAAGCCACCCAAACTCTCTGAACTTCATCTGTAAAGGGAAACAATAATATGTACTGCATAGTGGCATTGTGAGGAGTGARTATAATGTATAATGTCACTCAGAGTGGTGACAGGCCTGCTGTGGCTATGCAAGGTAAGAGGCAGGGAATTAGAACAGCAGGGGTTATTGGTACTTTAACCAAATTCTTCTTCTTTTCTCTCTCCATGTATCCTTCTGCTTGACATTCATTTGACAAATATTTATCCATGTCTGGCACTATAGTTTTTGCTGGAAGTTCAGTGGGAAACAAAATACACCAGAAACTAGAAATCTGGGTCCATTCTGCTTCTGGGGAACCATCTTAGCCTGGATCTCTGCTACTTCATTCTCCTGCCAGAGATTATCCTCAGTCTCCTGGCTGCTTTAACCCACAGAATTAAGATAGGGTAAGGGCAGGGGGAAATCAGGCCAGGGGGGACCCACAGAACACAGGAGCATGTGGATAAGATGGAAGACTTCACACTGCAACAGGGCAAAGGGATCCCAGCCACTGAGGACTGAGATCCCAAAGTACATGACTTCCTGTACACCACACTGCTTCCCAATTGTGCCTAACTACTCTGCATACCAGTAATAACTGTGCTGTAGGAAATGCTTGCCCCAAATCTTTACTAAAACCCTGAAAGAAACAACACTGAAAGAAAGAACACTGATGTGAGAAATCAAACCGTTGGATCTTAATGCTGAGCCTGCAACATTAGTCACTTAGTCATGTGATCTTGAGTAAATCACTTATTATTTCTGGGCCTACAATTGTTATGTCAATTTTATTTTAAAATATATCTAAGCTTGTGGTGATGCAAGCCTGTCATTCCAGCTATTAGGGAGGTTGAGGCAGGAGTTAGCAAGGTTAAGGCCGCTTGGGAAATTTAACAAGACCCTGTCTCAAAATATCAAATAAAGGGCTGGGGTTGTGGCTCAGCGGTAGAGTGCTCGCCTAGCACATGTGAGGCCCTGGGCTCGATCCTTCGCACCACATAAAAATAAACAAATAAAATAAATGTATTGTGCCCAACTACAACTAAAAAATAAATATTAAAAAAAAAAAAAAAAAAATATATATATATATATATATATATATACATCAAATAAAAAGCGCTGGGGATGTAGTTCAGTGTAGAGTGCTTGCCTAGTATGTGGTAGAACCTAGGTTCAATCCCCACTAACACAAATATACACCCAAATAGATGAAGAGAGAGGGGTCTTAACATGCAACCATTAATTCTTTGATCCTCCTTCCTTTAGAAGGTGGATCTTAATTTTCCATTTGAATGTGGGTTGAACTTAGTGACTCACTTTTAAGGAACAGAGGGAAAGAGAAAGACAGTTTACAATGGAGAAACCTGAATATCACCACCATAACCAAGTAACCAAGTTCATCTAGAAGTCGTGTTGATGTCTCGTGCTCCCTGAGAGGATGAGACACGATATACCCATCAAACACCTCTTCGTGATATTTCCTCAAAATCCACAACCCTGATCTATCCCAAAGAAAATATCAGACATCCCAAACTAAGGAACATTCCACAAAATACCTGACTACTGCCCTTCAAAAGTGTCAAGGTTGTGAAAGATGAGGAAAGATTAGGGCTGTTAGAGACTGGAGGCTATAGTGACATGAAAATTAAATTAAATGGATGATCCCAGATTGGCTCCTGGAAAAGAGAAAGTGTATTAATAGAAAAACTAAGGAAAGCTGAATCAAGTCTGTAGTTAATAGTATCCTATCAATGCTGATTTCTTCATTTTGACAAGTGCACCATAGTTATATAAGATCTTAACAATAACATTAGAAACAAGGAGAGAACATACAGAAATCTCTGAAGTATCTCTGACTTTTCTGTAAATCTAGGAGTATTTGAAAATAAAAAGACTTTTAAAAATTATTCCTGCTTGTATAGCAAAGTTCATGAATATCTTTTCAGCATACCTTAATTGTGTGAGGCAGCAAAAGATCATCAATTTATGGGCATTTGTTTCCAAGTTTTGTATTTTAAGAATAAAGCTACTATAGATATTCAGGTACAAAAGAAAGATCATCACTTTAACATTGTTAGATAATTCAGAGTAATACTGTAAATCATTGAAGGTCTGCTGAGAAGTGTACTTTGTACCCTTCAGCTGAAAATAATCTATTTGAAAAGCTATCCAGCAATAAGTAAAAGAAACCTTAGGCTTCCTTACATCCTTGGACCCAGAATCCTCACTTGAAGAATATATCCTTAGGGAGGGACGTGCCTATAATCCCAGCCATTCAGGAAGCAGAGACAGGAGGATCACTAGTTCAAGGTTAGCCTCAGCAACTTAGCAAGATCCTGTCTCAAAATAAAATAAAAAGAGGGTGATGTAGCTCAGTGGTTAAGTACTCCTGGGTTCAATCCCTGGTACCAAAAAAAAAAAAAGAAAGGAAGGAAGAGAAAAGAATATGTAAACTTGAGAAATAATTAAAGAATCATATTAAGAGTTATGTTTGTGAAAACTTGCCATCAAGACACAGTTTCCCCTTCTGAACCACAGTTTCACCATGTGGTTCTGAGGCTCATACCACAGGGCCTCACTTTTGAAGGCTTCTAAAATCTCACTCATGTACTTTCCCAGAACATATTACATGGCTGGGTTGGTGGTTGTTTAGACTCAGCACTGGAGGACTCTGGTTGGGAACTTACAATGGACACATTTGAAAACTGTAGGTACAATCTGTACCTAAGGATTTGAGACACCCAGATGAACTTTCTTTTTATGGTAGGATCATTAGAGAGAAATTTCCCTCTTAACATCTCCCTCATTTACTTAATACACAAGAATTGTCCATTGTTGTGTCCAGTGGATCCTAGGTGATGTTCTGGGTCCTAGATATACAGGGAGACTAAAATAGACATCACCGCTGCCTTCATGGGGTCAGAGTGACATTAAACAAGGGGAGACCTCTCTGACAACAAGGCATCTAGGGGAAGAATGTTCCAGGCAGGAAAAATAAAACAACAAAAAACGGAAAGTCCTAAGGCAGGCAAGAGGTTGGTGAATTCCAGGAGCCTAAGAAGGCCAGTTTGGCCAGTGTTGTGATTAACGAGATTAAAGTGACGATAAGATCTATTTCGGAGGAGATGGAAGCCAGAGAGTAGATCTCAGAGAAACAAGTGGTTATCAAAGCTTTAACCAAATAGATTTGGATAACCTCACCCAAAACTTCCTGAGTGAAAGGCCAATGTTACTTGGAGTCCTCAGTACAAATCCCCTCTGAGAAAGCACGAATATCATCCTTATAAAACTTTAATAATCAAAGGTAAAAAATTGTCAAGACCTGATTTCAAAAGCTCTAAATGACAGAATGCAAAATTCTATAATCTTTTTTTTGTGAATAAATTACGTTTTAAAAATGGGATTGTTTTGTGGATCTCTTAAGGAGAAATGTAACTGTGACATCTAACTGGAACAAGAACTATTATGGGAAAAACAGCTTCTGAATATAAAGTTTATATAAAAACAGTACTGACAGCATTGGCACTGCAGTGATAATATATAGAAAATAATTTATAGATGAGCAAAGAAAAAAAGGGAAAAAAATACATAGAAATGTAGGAATAGCAACAGGCTTTCTTTCAATCTAAAAGATAAAATTATCAGAATTTGTAGAGCTAATTGTGAAGACTACTTTCACTAAACACATTTAATACCTGTCACAAATCATAAACACTATGAATTTTATAATTTCCATTATAAATTTATTATCCTTACTTATTTAGCAGATAGTGTTAAGGACAGTTTGAAGAATATTTTCCATTTTGCTTTTTCCTTCAGATTAGTCTTTTATCTCAGTTACTTTCTTTCAAATCATCTCTTGGAACACCAAGTAACAAATTTGACCTGGTAGTCCATAAGCTAAAGCCACTAAAAGAGGTCCCTGTGTATCCCACAACTATCCTTCTCTCTGAAGAGGAAGAACCCAGAGAATGGGAAAAGTGACCTCATGTCAAAGATGAGATCATTTGATTCTTAACAAGCTTGCTCAGTAATTAAAAGGCAACAAAATAAAACAGAGGCCACATTGCTTCCTGTGTTCAGCTAGAGCTACAGAAATGAATAAAGTTTCTGTGAACTTTAACTCAGCATATAATAGTATTAACCACCATTTGCATTAAAAAAATAGTAACCCATAAAAGAAGGTCAGTAAAGCATCACAAATTGGGCTCACCAGAAAAGGTTCCCTAAATTTGAGATTTGGATATATCATAGATAGAGCACTGAACCTCTTGAATAATTTTCTCTCTCTCTCTCTCTCTCTCTCTCTCTCTCTCTCTCTCTCTCTCACACACACACACACACACACACACACACACACACACACAAATGTATTGCCAAAAAGCCTTTAGATCTCACTTTTAAACCTGGAAGTTATTAAGTCCTACAGAAATCATGGGAAAGTTTTTCTGTTATCATTGGAAATTTTTTCTTTTTCAAACACAAGAAGGAAGTAGTAGTATGATCATTTTACACACAATACTCAACCCAAAGAAGTAATTGTTAGGTTTCTAGAAACATGAAGGTTATACATATCTAATGCTAATTGGCCACATCAGGTAATTCATGTCAAGCCTTCCTGTTGTCATCTCAAAAATGTGTAATTAAAAAAAATAGTATTCTTTTAGGATTTTTCCCCTAATGGGTAGATAAAAATCAGTCAACAATGAATGAACTGGAATTTTAAAAGTTATAAACCCATCAAGTTATAGTGTTTTCAGGAACAGGTTACCTGCACACTGACCACAATGACCAAAGATGTGGCCATGGTAACTGCAAAGGACTGGTAGTCAGCAACATGTTGCCCATCTTCTCCAACCATGTTGTAAAAGGCCCCAAAGGGGATGAAGAAAAGGACTAATGAGGTGTAGATTCCATGTGCCACGCAAATGAAAAATTTACGCTTGTTGAAAAGTAGATTCAGTTGTCCAGGTTCATAGAGCTGGGGACAGTCCATGCTGTTCTGGTCACTCACATCCTGTAAACAGAGTATAATCTCATTTGAGGGGGGTAAGGAAGAGTCAGAGAGGCCCTGTATTCCCCATCTCCTGAAATAGCAAATGCCTTTTTAAGCATGCCCTAATATGCACTACTCAACGAGCCAGAACAAGACATTATCTTGTTTTCATTCCCATAATAACCCAGAAGATAATAAAAGGATCCCTAGTTTACAAGAAAAGAACTAAAGTCTCCAAGAGAGATTCATGAAAGGTCACACAAATCTTAAGCAGCAGAATCAGGCCTTCATTGGAACCGAGATATTTGTATTCAAATCAAGGTTTCTTTTCTACACTCCCCTGCAGGATTCTATGGCTTCTTCAAACACAAAACTCCTCAACACATCCATGCTCCCAGAATTCCAGCACCTCCTCCTCCATGCTTAGCCAATGGTCAATGCTTAATTGCCAAAGTGGTGGGTGGGTAGTAACCAGGAGACGGCAGCAGAGAGCTGTGGAGTCAGAACTGGAGAACTAGAACCTTTAGGGAGAGGTAAGCAAAGGAGAGGGAGCAAGGAAAGAGGGAAATTCTATGTGGGATTTCAGGTGGGAAGCAGGCTGAGACCAAATGCTTAGGGTCTGAATGTTTTACCAAAGTGAGGGTTCAGTAGTGGTTACCAAGTATTTGGGACAAAGAAATTAGAATGAGAATAAAAAGCATGCTTAGTACCAACCAAGTCCTGGGAAAACCTAAAGTGATGTTTCTCAAACATTGTGCTCATGAATCTCTCAGGGAGCAGATTATCAGTCAATAGGTCTGAGAGCTGAGAATCTACACTTCTAATCAGCTCCAAAGTACCGCTGATAACCACACTAAGTACAAAAGCCAAATGCCAAGAACCAAAAAAAGATGGCAAGAATAAATATTTGGGAACATCAAAGGGCCAAGGGTAAGGAAGGTCCAAGATAGTAAATGCTAGGGGAAGATCTGCCTCACCTTATTCCAGGCCTCACCAAACAGGGTCCCATGAAGAACACTGACATATTCTCCTTGGGAAGTCCTGCGATGAGATACTGGCAGGTGCTTCCTCTCCTGTGGTGCCTGGTGGGGTTACTTATGTACGTAGGCTTCAAACTCACACAGTTCTGAGTTCAAGCCTTAGTAACATGTTTAGCTGTAGAACCTGTTATTTAACCCATATGAGCCTTAGTTTCATCATCTCCAGAAATACAAATAGTAACAAACACCTCCCTCCCAGAACCACTCTCATGATTAAATGAAGATGTGAAGTATTCAGTAGAATTCTTGCCATGTCTTAAGTAATAAATAACAGATGCTTCTACAAACAAAAGTAAATAAAATAATGATGATAATCATAATTAATGATAACAAGAGGTATAATGCAGAAGCTTCAAAGTCAAATGACCTGTCCTAGGCTTATTTCTGTCATTTATTGGTTATATAGTATTAGGGCAGTGACTTGAACCTCCAAGGCTTGGATTCCTTCTTATAAAATGAACAAATCCATAGATTATCACTGAAGCCCTTACAGCATAGCATTCCACAGTCCTGTGATTACTTTAAGGGCCAAAATTGACAAAGCAGGAAAAGAGAGGAGCAGACATTCAACTTGACAGCAATAAGGAGCCTTATTATATTTTTTTTTTCAAATTGCACAATGACCATGTTTTCCCAGAAACTGCTTTATTTTTATTATTTTATTTCATATTCTGGGCAGCTGCAAAGCACCAAGAAAAGAAACACTTGTAAACATGGGCACTTGGAAATGAATATGCTCAATCCTTTACATCTAAGGTCTTCAGAAGTTCATTATGTTTTGTAGAATTCCACAAACTGCCCTTCACAAACTGCCTTTTTTTACATATGAAAAGTGAGACTTACAACTGACTACACAGCCAGAAGAATGGGAAAGTGGAGTGAGCTCATAATGGGAAGATTTATATTTTGCAATAGACGGCTTTGGGCCAGAAAATGAGGCCTAGCAAATGGGTCTAACAACAGCCTGTAGAAATCTGGTCTCCTTTAAAAATACTTCAAAAAAAAACCCATACTTTTAAAAATAATACACTCTAATTATGCCATGGAAACTCGGCTGGCAAGTCTTCTACTTCCCCATAGGCAGCCAGACTTTTACCCCTTTCCAGGAAGTACCTGCCAAGGCTCTGAGTGTGCCAAGCAGCCACCATTTTCATAATTGATTCCCTCCCTTTTCCCCTCTCAAGCACATTGATGCTGGACAAAAGAAGTCTGTGCTCTGTCTCTTCATGGCTGTGGGCTTTGTGTGCTCCTCTCCCCCTGGCAGACTACTCCACGGGCCGCAGTTCCTGTTCTGAGGCTGTGTTGGCCAAGGATGTCTCACTGCAGATGGTAGGTTTCTGATCTCCAACCTAGTTCCTTGATTTTCCATCTACTGCATGGCTTTCTACAGTCTCACAGGCTAATGTAGCACTTCCCAGTTTGTGAACCAACAAGCACTAGTTCTGAGGCATATTGATAGGTACTATTTGAAAAAAAGAAAAGTAAACTTACTAGGCTAAAATAAAAGGGAGTACTTGCTAAGGGATTTCTCAAAACCTTTACATCAATAATGTGGGGTGAGATTCTCTAAGTGAGCAGCCAAACTTTAATCAGAGAATCCTTTGGGGAGAGCAAGGGTAGGGAAGGGGGCTCTGGAAGGGCTTATGACCCACACAACTTCTAATAAAATAACTGTATTCCTGGGGCTCTTTGCATGAATTGTGTCTTCTACTTTGAAGTTAGAAGCAACTAAAAGGTGTAACAGAAAAACTAAGCTATGAGATAGAGAAAAACACATACCTGGTCAAAAATCCCCATTGCTAAAACAGGTAATGATGTGTAGACAATGTTAAAAAGAGTGATGAACCACTGATCATAAACGGTCTGAAAAAAAAAAATAAGATAACAGTGAGAAACACCATCCATGTTAGTAATACTAAGAACATTCACCTTCAGGTTTCTGAGGTGGTTTAAATAACCTGCCTTTCTAAGGTGGGTGGTAATTAGCTTTTAGAGTCAGAACTCTCCCAGTTCTGCCTCTTATCACCTCCTTAGTGGGAGACTAGACCTCTCTGAACTTTGGTTTCTTGATCTCTGAAGCAATACCATCCCCTGCAGAATGGCAGAGGGATGAGATGAGATCACAAATGTAGCATACCTGACACAATGCTGGGCATGTGTGACCCTGAACTCTTGTGGTAGATTGATATTTCTGCTCCATATTTCCAATGACTTATAAGGAGTTCAAATGTCTGATTTAAGTGATAGATAAAATCTTCAGCAAGAAATATTTATCTATTATTCCTACCCTATATTCAAATGAAGAACTCTTTCTTAGGAATGGTTCAAAGCAAGGTGAGCATTAAGCTAAATGTTCACTATACTGAGTATAAGCAATAAAAATACCCCTTCACATCTATATAGAGTACATGACACAAGATTTCCTTGCATGAGCTCACTAATGTCATTATATTTGCACTTTGTTGATTAGCACACAGAGAGATGGAAATGAAATCTTTCTGTTTCTTATTATAATCTAAGATAAAATTTAAAACTTAGAAATGGAGGAACTACAGAATGAAATTGACCGAATTATGTTATGTGTAAACATCAATATACCACAGTGAATTTCACCTTTATAAAGCACCAATTAAATAAATAATAAATAGATAGAAGGAAGACCATACAGAAAGGGGAACATGAGGAAGGAAGAGGGGAGGGAAAGAGGAAGTACTGGGGATGGAATTGAAACAAACTGTATACCATAAATGTATGATTATGTCAAAATGAACCTCAATAACTACAATGCACAAATAAAAACATTTAAAAAATTAAAATCTAGGTCTCTAACTTCTAACCAGTGCCCATTCTACCACCCATATCATTTATTCACTTAGCCATTTGATATTTATTGAGAAATAACTATATGCCAGGTACTTAGATGCAAGGCAGTGATAATTCAATTGATCATATAGATAAAATTTCTCATTAAAATTGCATTCTAATGGGGGGAAAACAATAAACAAGATCAGTTTTTATGGGGAAAATGAATGAGTGAATGAGTACATAAGTTAGAATGTAGTAAGTATTAAGGAGGAAAGGCCATAGGGGATGTGAGAGGATTAGAATGGTAATAAGGTAACGGAAGAAGATTTTACGGAGAAGTGACATTTGAGATAAGATACGAAGGAAATATAGGATTGAATATGCAGCTTTCTGGGACAGAAGCATTCTCTACTGCAAGAAGATCCCATGAAACATGTCAAAGGCAAGAAAGCATTGTATGCTCAGAGACCACCCAGGGGGCCAACTGGGTATAGTAGAACAACCAATAGGGAGAATAATGGGAGCCAAGAGCTAAGGAAGAGAATACTATGTAGCTAACCATGATTTCTTCCCTAGGTGAAATGAGAAGGCAGAGGATTTTAAGCAAAGGAGCAACCTGATCTGATTCACATTTTACCAGAATCATTCTGGATGCTGAGAGAAGACAAGAAGAGCAATGGTGAAAGTAGGAAGGCAATCAGGAAGCTATTGCAGGGTTTCAGGTGAAAGAAGATGGTAGCTGAATCAAGTGACCAGCAGGGACACATGTAAGATTTTGAATATATTCTGAAGCACATTTTCTTTTTAGGGAAGTTGTTAAGCTCTGAAGAACCTTGAATGCAAAGGACTCAGACCAAGAAGTTAAAGTTTAGGGTCTACAAGGTAAAAAGTTCTTTAAATTATGTCCTTTGGATGTAGAGTATATTAAAGAGAAAATATTTTGGTATCCTAGTGCTAAATCTGAATTTGAACTATGCTGTGTCTTAGCATCATGGTATAGTCCTGAAATGGGTATGTTCAAGAGAAAGAAAAGTAGAGGCCGTTCTTAAAAAAGCTAAATTCCACTATTCTGCTGAGCTACATAGGCAGATTTATTCAAAACTGAATAATTCAAACCCTGAAACTATGCTGATTACTGTATTCTGAACAGTTGTCAGCAAGATTAGTGCCTAACTTCATTAAGAAGTAGGGGCCTAGAGCTAGGCAGGGAAGTTGAATTTTACCACCAAAAGCCAAGGTAAGGCTTTGGGAATAATGAGGATTTTTTTTTTTAATCCTGATATCCATACACACACCAGCCCAATTAAATCAGCATATCTGGGGATGGAATCTAGGTATTTATGTTTTTTAAAACATTTTCAGATAATTCCAATATGAAGTTAATATTGAGAATTGCACACACTTCCCATTAAAAACAAAACAAAAACAAAAACAAACAAATAAGAAAAAGAAAAAGCACAGAAGAGCTGACACATATCCTCCACAATTTGATGCTGGTATCTGACGTTCATTCCTCAGTTTATTAATCCATTCCATGATTGCAGTATGGAAAATAAAAGAGGGAGAGAGCAGTTAAACTGAGGTCTTGTAGCCCTGAGCAGAGCCTGGTGACATTGAATCATTCCTTCACCATCTACCTCATCCACCTCCCAGTTCACTCATAAGAAGAGATGAAGAAAGAATCTGGGAAATTATGACAGACTGAACTGTTAGTAGCTGACGGTCTGGCATTAAGTGCCCTCCTCATCAAAACTGGAAAGCATCAAACCTACAATTATTTGACAGCAGGAATTGTCAATTGGCACACAAATTTGAAACTTCATTTCATAACTGGAACCGGAGCGGCAGGAAGGGTAAAGCAGTTAGAATAAAGTTTCAGTGAGGTTTTGGCAATTTCTTGGAACAAAAATAAAAACAAAAATAGCTAATATTTGTTGGGACTTATTAAGTGCTTCTCATGTATTAGCTCATTGGATTCTAACAATCCTATGGTGTAGATACTCTAAACAGTGCCCAGTTTACAGATGAGCAATCTGAGGCCTGTCGGGGTTAGAAGACGGCCAGTGTCATATCTCAACACAAAGACATTCTAAGTGTGGTCCAGGGACCTTTTAGGGACCCATAATGTCAAAACTATTTTCATAATAATATTACAAAGTTATTTATTTTCCCTTTTACCTCATTCTCACAAGAGTGTATATGACTTGTAATATGTCAGTTGACTAAAAGCAGAGCAGATATGGGGACCCAGTTACCTTATTTTATGCCACATAGTTTTACAAAGAGTGTAAAGCAACGGTACCCTTCTCACTAACTTGTCTTTTGTTTGGAAAAATTCAGCAATTTTCCTGAAAAGTATTTATGTAAACATGGCATAAGTTATTTTAGTTAAGAAATATTTAATTTTTTTCTCCATGTTCATTTCTAATCTGACAAATATTGATGGATGGGGTCTTGAGATCCCAGAGTTTGAGAATGCTGGCCAAGCAACTGTCAGAGCCAAGTTCAAGCCTTGGACCTTAGTGACTTCAACACTGATCTCTGCCCAAACCACCTCTTTGAATCAGTAATATCATGTGGCAAGTTTCCTTAAATCCTTTCTTCTTTACTATGTTTTACATAGTTGAGAACTTATAATAGATCCAATGTTCATATGCTGGGTTTTTTGTTTTTCCTTTTCTTTCTTTTTTTTTTGGTGGTGGGGGGGTTCACTTAAAATGTTAACATTAGCATTTACCTGTTAAAACTCTCCAATGATGTCCCATTTTCCTTGTAATAAAGTCAGACTCTTTGTAATGGGCTAAAAGCCCTTCCTTCTCTGGCCTATCTACCTCCCCAGCTTTCCCCAATAGCACACTCATCCTCACTCACCAAGCTGTAGCTTCACTCACTGCCTTTCTCCAACTCACCAGGCTCATTTCTGACTCCAGACACATTTGTTGTGCCCTCTGCTGGCATACTTCTACCCCAAGGTAGGTTCCTTGTAAACACTTATGCCAAAGCCAGTGCCACTCTCTCAATGAGACCTTTTACATTACTCAACCCTTTCTTTCTTTCTTTTTTAAAAATTTCTTATAGCTGTAGATGGTTTAGCATGCCTTTATTTGATTTTATTATGTGGTGCTATGGAACCCAATGCCTCACACATGCGAGGCAAGCTCTCTACCACTGAGCTACAGCCTCAGCCTTCAACCTTTTCTTAATCACAACTCTGAAATCATCTTACTGATTTGCTTCTCATTATCAGTCTTCACTCCACTAGAATATAACCTCCATGAAAACAGAGGCCTGTTCACAATTACAACCCTAATGCCTTAGAGCAGTATTTAGCCAATGGTAGGTAGGTGCTCTGTAAATATTTGTTGTTTAACTGTTTTGCAACTTTTAAAACAACGTTATTTATCTTCGCTGAGGATGTACCATAAGCTCCTCAAACCTGACATGTTGAGACCTAAGCTCTTCTTCACATCCCTTAATCAGGCCCACCTCCTCTGTAGTAAGCCTATTCTCATTTATGTCACTACTATATCTACCCCAGCAGCCAAGTCAGAAATCTAAGACTTCTCCCCTTCTGACTCATCTGAGGGGCCCAAGAACCTAACTCAGTGCCTGGCATGTGGTAAGCTTTTGATAAAAGAAACCTAGAGACTTAGAGGAAAGGCATTGGAGTCAGTAGACATAACTGTGTGGCCTTGAGTAAGACCCCCAACTTCTCTGAGTCTCTGTTCCTTGGCTATAAAACGGGGTTTACAGGGAGGCTGTGGGTATCCAATGAAACGAGTCAATGGTAGTCCAGCATCGAAAAACAGATACTGCTCAATACAGTGACACTATCAATACGGAAGGAGGAAAGGGGAAAAAGGAGGGAGGAAGAAGAATGCAAGGGTCCAGGTTTCAGGTGGTGTGCTTAATGGGTAAATAGAGGGTACATTTCCCCACTAATTGTATTTTTAATGAAAATATAATTTTTGGGGCCGAGCACGGGTTCTCAGAAGGGGAAGGAAGCGGTACAGTCCCATCCCCCACAGCGGACACTCCGCCGAGGCAGTCAGCGGCCA